ATGAGGATAACAAAAAGATTAGGTGATGAAAGATTGGATATCAGATTGGAGGGAGAGAGTATGGAGGAGGTGAATGTATTCCGATATTTGGGAGTGGACGTGTCAGCGGATGGGTCTATGCAAGATGAGATGAATCATAGAACTGATGAGGGGAAAAGGGTGAGCAGTGCACTTAGGAGTCTGTGGAGACAAAGAACTTTGTCCTTGGAGGCAAAGAGGGGAATGTATGAGAGTATAGTTTTACCAGCACTCTTATATGGGTGTGAAGCATGGGTGATGAATGTTGCAGCGAGGAGAAGGCTGGAGGTAGTGATGTCATGTCTGAGGGCAATGCCTGGTGTGAATATAATGCAGAGAATTCGTAGTTTGGAAGTTAGGAGGAGGTGTGGGATTGCCAAAACTGATGTCCAGAGGGCTGAGGAAGGGTTGTTGAGGTGGTTCGGACATGTGGAGAGAATGGAGCGAAACAGAATGACTTCAAGAGTGTATCAGTCTGTAGTGGAAGGAAGGCGGGGTAGGGGTCGGCCTAGGAAAGGTTGGAGGGAGGGGGTAAAGGAGGTTTTGTGTGTGAGTTGCTTGGACTTCCAGAGGGCATGCGTGAGCATGTTTGATAGGAGTGAATGGAGACAAATGGTTTTTAATACTTGACGTGCTGTTGGAGTGTGAGCAAAGTAACATTTATGAAGGGATTCAGGGAAACCGGCAGGCCGGACTTGAGTCCTGGAGATGGGAAGTACAGTGCCTGCACTCTGAAGGAGGGGTATTAATGTTGCAGTTTAAAAACTGTAGTGTAAAGCACCCTTCTGGCAAGACAGTGATGGAGTGAATGATGGTGAAAGTTTTTCTTTTTCGGGCCACCCTGCCTTGGTGGGAATTGGCCAATGTGTTAATAAAAAAAAAAAATAAAACAAAGAATAAATCATACAACTATAGTACTGATCATACTGTATAAGGGATTTCTAATAACTGTTTAAATAGAAGAGCTACTGCCTAAAGGATAGCAAACTTCAATCGATTTCACATTCTTCACACTACTTTCAAATACATATAGAAAGTACATTTCAACGTATTCTGAACAAAACAATACAGTACTTACCTGAGCTGGCACAGCCAGTGATGACTGCTCTGACATATTTTCTGCTGAACTTCTTTAACAGTAAAAGACATTCAAAAACTTACAGGCATCCTGATGACATTCAAGACCAGAGATAAAAAACTTAAGACTTGACTTGTAGTTTATAGCTGACTGGGTCAGTATGGAGGGGTGTCATGATCCTGTCTTAGTCACACACTACATTTTTAATGCACTACTCAAAATTTCCTTCTGAAGATAGAAAATTTGTAAATAAAAAATCCTAAGCTGTAGTAAACAACCAGACTTGAGGAAATCAAACAAAAATAATAAAGAATCCTACCATAATCTACAATATAAATGTGGCATCTAATTTATAAATTTTATGCATATAGAATATGAGTTGCAAGCTACAGTATCTTATATATGTTATCTCATTTACACTGCTTACAAATGCAATAATTTCCCCATTTTTTCTATGTTGGGGGAGAAGAGATACAGTAAGTTATGAACTGTCAATATTAATCGGCAAATACAAATCTAATTTTATACAACTAAGCTTCAATAAGACAAGTCTAATTACTTATTTAATAATCATAAAAGATCAAGAAATATATAAACCGCAATACTCTAACTTTCAAATGTTTCAAGTTCTTAAACAAAACTTCTTTCTGATAATAATATTCTTTTTCATCAACAAATTTGCAAGAGTGGATCTAAAAGCCAGGCTCAGACGAGTAAGAAAGCATCAAGATAACATAAAATTTCAAATGCATGAGTATCTATTTTCTGTGGATGAATATACGACAATTACAATATTCTTCAGAATACAGTATTACCTCCAACTGATGCAACTAATTTTAGTGTAGATCAATAACACTGACCACTCTAAGTACTCAGATGTATCTCAGCATCCATACCTGGAGTATACCTGGAGAGGGTTTCAGGGGTCAACATCCCTGCAGCACGGTCTGAGACCAGGCCTCGTGATGGATCAGGGTCCGATCAACCAGGCTGTTACTGCTGGCCATCCACACTCATGTCAGTTGCAAGCCAAGATAAGAGCAAGAATACTGACACTAACATGCAATAAATTCATTTTTTTTCAACCACTTGAAAATTATAAAATATGCTTGTGAAAGACATTCCTAATAATTTATTAGTTATAAGAAAGGTCTTAACATGATGAAAGTGACTGCCTTTGTAAACACTAATCATACATAATCTTGGAAATAAATATGCAGCTGAAGTAGAGGCATTTAAATTGTTCTGTGAGCTACAGCCCTACTTGGAACATATTTATTTCACTGTAGCAAAGATTTTAAGATATTCCAATGAATCATTTGATTTATGACACTAGAACTGTTTATTCAGTTCTTTTAACAAAGTTGCTATCTCAATTAATATTCGGCAACATTAAGTTATACCAATGGATATTTTCTCCACAATATGACTACATGATGTGCAAGAAACTGTTAAGCATGTGACAGAAACAAACTGTGTCCACAACATGCAACATTGTGGATGCTGCATGACCCTCATGGGCTTATTACTTTCTTGAGAATATAATAATATTGAGAATGATTTCAATGTACAGATTTTTCTTGCAACAGACCATTTGAGATTAAAAGAGTGCATCAGCTTTAAAAACTTAATACAGCCTCTCCTCACTTAACAAAAGAGTTCCATTCCTAAGACCTCGTTGGTCAATGAATTCGTCAGTAAGGAAGCAGCACACCATTTGGTAGTTGCTTTGTGTCAACCTTCTTTGATATTGTTTTAATGTCACCTTTGCACCATTTATAGTATTTCTGGTATACAGTGGACCCCCGCCTTACGATATTATTTCATTCCAGAGGTCTGTTCAGGTGCCATTATAGACCGAATTTGTTCCCATAAGGAATATTGTGAATTAGATTAGTCCGTTTCAGACCCCCAAAAATACACGTACAAAAGCACTTACAAAAATACACTTACATAATTGGTCGAGTTGGGAGCTGATCGTAAGGCGGGGGTCCACTGTATTTTTAAATGTTTATACAGTAGTGTACTGTATATTGTAATAAGCAGAATAGAGGAAATCAGCTCTAACATACATTATTTAGGTATGAATACTGGTCAAAGAGCCCAGCGTAAGTACAAGTTGTCGGTAAACAAATATGTCACTAAGTGAGGAGAGGCTGTAATTGGCAAAACTATTATTTTGAGCTGAAGAAAATTTTCAGAATTTTATCAACGAATTTATTCATTTATCCGCCAGACCCATGTGGATTATTCAACGCAAAGATTGGCAGAATCTCAATCCTGTCTGTCTCCTCAAAGGCAGGCAGGTAGGCATGCTGCCAAGGCGCAATCGATAATTTCCTCAATTTATCAGAAAAAAAGTAGATTACTGCATACTGTATATTTTTTTTTTAACTGAAACCAACTGTCCAGTGTTAAAGAGCAGTTACATAAAGGATTTATTGCTTTGTCTAAATTGTAAGTGTTGTTTGAAATTCTTGAGTTCTAAATTCCACTTAATACTGCATTTTTTTATCATCACTACTAAGTGCTAAACCTGTAGTGCAATATTTAAACGTTTTAGTATAGTACATGGATACAGTACTCTATAAATTGTTAACCCTTCGAGGGTCCAAGCCATTGTTCTATGCCATGAGCTCAGCTCACTCATAAACCGTGAGACGTAAATTTGAGCCTAGATAGAAGAGAATGGATCTATGTGGTAAGTGTGAACCATATAAAACAAATCCTGCAGCACACAATGCATGAGAAAAAAAACTGACTGTATTTATGGAATAAAACTGACTTTGTGGTGCATTTTCGTATGGCTTTTATGGTTGTATTCACAGTTTCGTGATCTCATTCAACAGAATGGAAGATATATTACTGAAATAGAGATGATTTTGATTTGTTTTAGTACTGAAAATAGCTTGAAACTGAGCTCAAATTAGCAGAAATGTTCAATTTTTGCCAATGTTCAAGAGTAAACAAATGATGTCATGCGTTCGATACACGTCAAATGGTGGATCTAATATACGTTCACAAATGCACTGACATTATTTATACAATTATTACAATATTACATAACAGTAAATCTTCTATTTTTTGGTGTGAATAAGAATAACGAATCAAAATGGAGTTCATCTGCAGAGCCTTGAAACTTAACTAATAAACAGATTAAATGTTATTTTAGTGCCAGGAATGCCTGCATTGTTTATTCTGAACCCTATTTTTAAATTAAATATTTTGAACTTTGTGTGAAATTGGCCAAATTACCAATTTCTGATCACTTTATTGGGTAGTTGAAATAGTTAATTGGGCAGTTTCTAAGAAGCTAAGAATTTGGTTGACTGGAATAATGTAATTGGCCTAAAGTAGGAGTCAAAGTGGGCAAAATAGCTGATGTTTAAATATTGCTGATGCAGTAAAATTCAAGACAGTGTAATTTTGTCAGTTTTCCATCAAATTTTGTACTTTTTGTTTACTACCTTCAGAAAAAGATTCTCTACCATTTCACAAGAAAAAATAACAAAAAAATTTTGAAAATTCTTAAACTCTGTGGACAAGGCGTAGAACTACAGCTTGGACCCTCAAAGGGTTAAAAATACTTGAACAAAATATATTATTTCCAACAATCATTCAACCAAAAGAAAGCTCAAATAATTACAGCTCATTAACTTAACTAATCCATGTCTGAGAGCATGTAAAGCAAGTGTAAAAAATCCTATTTGCCCTACGTGGTATGTACTGTTGAAAAGGACTTTATTCGTTATTAAATTTGTTCCATGTTTTTACATACTATAATAATGAGGTGCAGTAGCTGCCTCTACTCTGCACCTTATATAGTGGCCGAGAAAGATCAATTGTTTACATTTTATGTACTGTCAGAGAAAGTTGTGTAAGAAGTTCAAAGAAAACACTTAAAAAGTTTTTATATTATCTATTTTTTATATTATATATTTTCTATATATTCAGATGATTTTATCAAAATATACAAAAATCTGTTTTATATTACAAAATGCATCTGCAGTGATAAATTTGTTTGTTTTCTTGGGAAAACTATTATCCATATTTGGCATTATTCAATCACATCCCTGCACCTTTATGGTCAAAATAATGAAGCATCTGCTTTATTTTATTTCTGCATATTGCTGAGTTATCTGCACAGTCTGTTTAATGGAAAATAGTTAAGACACTTCATCATGCTTTCTGGTCTCAATGTAATGTATCTAGTTTACGTTTCCATAGTCAACAGCCACCAATTCTTTCAGTTTCTAAATACTAAGCTATTCCATACACCAAATACCATTTGTCTATTCTAGCAGAAGAAAATTTACCAACCAATCTAACAAAAATCCTCACTACATCAACCCACGTTTCAGTCTCAGTAACTAAACAAACTTTCATCCACTAAAAATTTGTAAAATAAGGACAAGCAATAAAAAATTTAACTACTAAGTAAGTTATCATAAATGGATTGGCTATACAACAATTTTTCACTGTGTACAGCAACACACAAAACATTTCAGGTAAACACCTGCATTCTTCCAACTTGGCTTAAATTTACACATGTCACTACCTATTCTGAAGGTAGATTAGTTCTAGATGCTTATAATGGTACCCATGAAGAATCTTCCACTTAATATTTCAGCTTGCTCTTATTAAATTAATATATGCACTTTGGCAGCTGATATACCGGTATATATCGTATACATATATAAAATAAAATGTGTAATGGATAATACTTTTTGCTTTACCAAGCTAGATTGATTATAATAACCCTCTGCTTATTTTAAGTGCCCCTATCAATGCATTTTCACTATGATAAACTACTGTGAAATGTGACAGTCAACATATAGCTCCTATTTAATGCCTCTGACTGAGGTAATACTGTATATACTAGCGAAGAAATAAAAAGACAATGAATACTGTAATTTTATGTAAAAAATTTAGAGTAAAGAAAAGCAGGTAAAAATATAAAAAACCTAGTTATTACTTTTTGCAAATTATTAAGATTGACATGTTTATTAATGTGAAGTTATTTATATAATGTAATTTGCAATACAACAATATAATCATGCATTTGTACTGTCATGAAAATTGAGGACTTTCCTCTAGTTTTTATACGAGTTAAAAGTATTGAAATGACCAAAAAGATTCACCCTTGTAATCTGAACATATAAGCAACAAGTAATCTATTACATTACACTGCCTGATTTTATATGCTCTCTTAAAAGACAAATCAGATTACTCTGATTTCTGAGTTAAAATATCAGATACTGAAACCTAAATCTATTACTTATGCTAACTAGCACTTATCCTGACAGAACAGCTAGTGCAGTGGCCATAATTGTCATTATTATTATCACTAAATGAAAGCAACATGATTTCCTGATGGCTTAGCACCACATCCTATACCTGGCAGGTTGTTGACATATCCACCATCAAGTAGCAAGTGTCCGTCATGTGGATCGCAGATGGGCGGCATGTACCCAGAGAGGGACATGGATGCCCGCACGTACCGCCAAGTACTTCCTGCAATACCCACTCATGCTTAATACTGGTTTCCTTAAAATTCAGCCTACTATCATGCCTCATTTTAACTTTCAAGGTGGCATTTACATGACCACCGTTACTGATACTCTCCGCTAGAAAAAACTCTTACTTTAACTGTCACAGTGAAGCATTATGAGTAATTATACAGAAAGTCCCACACAAACATCAAAATTTGCTTTCCTCAGTCACAACTTAACAGGAATAAATGGTAAGCAAAAATACGTTTTCCAACTAGATGAATGTTTTTTCCGATGAATGTAATGGCCTGCCCTTAAACATTTAATAAGAGAGAAATGTATTACATGAAAGTAACTTTAGTCTACCATTAAATTTTTACATGCAATCACAGCATCTGAATTACCCAAAGAATAGCATACACTTAAGTGTTTATTTTTTAACTTAATACAGTAGCTTCATACTTCCTTTATGTATATATATATTATATTTATAAAAACTGTAGTATATTGGGTAAGGGTTAGTAATTGAGAACATAATTTTAAATAAAAGAATTACAAAAATTAAACAAAATAAGCTAATAAAATCTTCACAATAATGGACTGTGAAAGCAATGAAGTCTACAAAGAGTACAGTGGTACCTTGGGATATGAACTTTTTTCCGTTCCAAAAGGCTGTTCGAGTGCTGATACCGAACAAATTTGTTCCCATAAGAAATAATGTAAATTAGATTAATCCGTTTCGGACCCCCAAAAATACACTTACAAAAGCACTTACATTAATACACTTACATAATTGTTTTCGTTTTGAGCTGTTCGTGTTCCTGAGGTACCACTGTAATGAAGACTGATCCCGTGACCTTGTACACGAAATTACCAAAGTATCATTTAGGTCATGATTTTATATCTTCCAAACATTGACACGTACTTAATCAGGATTGTGAAGGTACCAACTGATGCATGAATTACACATATAAGTAACAGCACAAAGACTTCATTAATGCAATATAGGTCGTATGCCCAAGACCACCAAACAGAATGGGAGAAACGCGGACTTCAGACTGATAATGCAAGCTGAATTATCTTTTAATTAAAGAACATCCAGCAGGCATGTGTGTGTTAGATAGGAGTGATTGGAGGCATATGGTTTCTGGGTCTTGACGAGCCGCTGGAATGTTAGCAAGGTAACATATATAAAGGGATTCAGGGAAACCAGTTAGCCAGACTAGAGTCCTAGAGGTGGAAAGTACAGTGCCTGCACTTTGAAGGAGAGGAGGGGATATTTGTTGTCTGGAGGGGCATCTGAACTGTAGTATCAGTGTGCCTTTGGCAAGATAGTGATAGAGTTAATGACAGTGAAAGTGTTTCATTTTCAGGTAACCCTATCTCAGTGAGAGACGATGGCCAGGGTCAAAAAAAAAAAAAAAAAAAAAAAAAGGCAAATGTCACGAAAGCCACAAAAATGAGAGGGTGGATAAAAAGAACTTTCAAAACAAGGGATATTAATGCCAATGGTGATACTATTAAAACCACTTGAGCTCTTTTGCTTAGAATGCTGTTCAGTGTTGATGGTGCCATTTAGGGCTGGAGATATCAGAACTGGAATAAATACAATAATCATTTACGACCCACACAGAGCCAACAGAGCATTTTAAATTACTGGGAATGCCTCAAAGTCCTATACATGTACTCTCTGGAGTGAAGGAGAGAGACATGATAATATATACAAGTAAAGTATTTGAAGGCTTACTTTCAAATTTGTACACTGTTGGAGTTAGAGATTTTGGAGAAAATATAAAATAAACTCAGTGCAGGTCAGGGGTTCTATGGGCACAATACGAGAACACAGTACAATATCAACATTTATGATCTCAGACTATTTAACATCATACTAGAGAATGGAAACACTGCCAGGACAAGTGTAGAAGTCTTCAAGAGGAAAGTAGATATACACCTCTGCCAAGTACTTGAATAGCAAAGCTGTGATGGATATGTGAACCAGTGAACCAGCAGCAGCAACACCTTGGGTGACCATGTAAACTACAGACAAGCCTGGCCCAGGGCCAAGCTGAAGCAGACAAACTTCAAAACCATTCAGAGGTTTCAAGAGTAGTTGTACAATTTAATTCTTGTCACTTTTAAGCTTGTTGCTGTATAAAAGAGTAGACCCTAGAAACCCAGGATTTTCTGATGACATGTCACTCCACTGAGCTTTGAGTGTTGTATATCGAGGGGACTGCCATAGGGACTCTTGATTGTCATATTGACAGTGGATGGTCTAGGGACCCCATTATTTTGTCTCTTTAATTTGGTTGAGAACATAGTTCCTTCCAAGAGTTTTTTGATTGCTATGCATATCTGTATTTCGTGTGTAAGTAGCTTATTTGTCCTATAAGGAGGAGTACAGGTTATTGTTAGACAGGCATCCAGATGGGCATCATTAGAACTGCCTTAGAATCTTTCATTCCTGCTAAGGTTCAAGAAAGACTAACTCAGGGAGATAAGGATAAGAGAGAAAGAGAAAAGGAGAGAGAGAAAATTGAGAAAGAAGACAGGGAGGAGCATGAAAAAATGGAAAGAGATGAAAGAGCAAAAGCAAGACAGGAAGTTTAGATTAAGTGAAGAATTAGAGTTAAAGCAGAAGCTTCAGGACCAAGCTCAACAAATGTTAATGAGCTTAAACTTGAGTTGAAACAAAAGAAACATTGCCACCTTATGTGACCGACCAGCTGATACCTGGACAACAAGGTTAAGAATACTTTTCTCCAGTACAACTTTAAGCATTTATACAATTTTGTCCCAAGAGACAATCTGTAATTACATGTTGTTAAAGAAGACAAATCTTAAAGCTTTCCATAAAACAAGACTCTTACAGAAAGAAATTTTGTCATGCTACATACGAAGCCAGAATTTCAGTCAATCTCAAACCACTCACTTCCTTCTCTTTAATTTCTGGATGAATAGTGTGGGGCTGCTATCTCTATCCAATTTTGAATTTCATAAGAAATGCAACTGGCATTCTGCTGCAAAAGTTTGTGAAACGCTAAATATTTACCCCAAAAATTCATAGCTCTTAACCTTTCAGGGTCTGTGCTGTAGATCTACGGCTTTACGTTGAGGGTCCAAACTGTAGATCAATGTCAAAATTCTAGCGGCGTCAAATTTAGCGTGAGAAGGCGGGTAGGCCTACATCTGAGAGAATGGGTCTGGGTGGTCAGTGTGCGCACTATAGAAAAAATCTGGACACCTGCATGGCATTGTGGGAAGGCCGCCAAAGTACTTTGTTAAACATGCCGGGCGGCAAGGAAGCTCTCATTCCCCACTCACTCCCCGGCGAATTCTGACTCTCCTCTTCACAACTTACAGTTTCTAAGACTGATGGAAGTGGATCTGAAGAGGAATTCTATGGTTTTCAACCATATGGTATCATTGTACCATATGGTACAATGGTATATGGTACAATGGTATCATATGGTACAATGTACCATATGTACATTATACCATATAGTACATTATAAAATATGGTACATTGTACCATATAGTACAGGGTACGGAACCATAATCAAAATAAGCCTGATTTTTTTGGGTTTATCCTAGGTTCTCCAAACATATGCTAAGTATGATAATCTATAAAAACTTTATTTGTGTATACCTAAATAAACTTACTTACAATACCACATGCGCTTGAGTAAGGTTTTTTCAGGTGTACAAAAATAAGTTACATAGATTATCATACATAGCATATGCATAAAAACCTAGGAAAAACCCAAAAAGTCAGGGTGGGCTTATTTCCACAGGGATCCTTGTATCTGTACCATATGGTGTCCTGTACGTATGGTAAACCCCGTACCATATAGTACCCCGCACCATACAGAACCCTGCACCATAGGTATCCGTACTGTATGGTACCCTAATACCATATAGTACAATGTACCATATGGTACCCTGTAACATATGATATGATGTACCACAAAGGTCAGTAGGTGGGTTGATGCCACGAGCACCAGCCAAGACTGATGAGTGGCGACGCAAGTCACTGACTCAGCAGTTTCCAAGACAAAGCGCAAATTTTCATCCACCTCAAGGAACATGTTTTATGGCTGTACATTTGTAAATGATAATAAACATTAAATAAATATGGGCTCTGGTGGGCCCGGTACTAATGCTCTCGTTTCACATGGCGAGGGCCTGGGTTCGATTCCCAGCCAGAGTAGAAACATTGGGCATGTTTCTTTCCACCCGTTGTCTATGTTTCCCCATCAGTAGAAATGGGTACCTGGGTGTGGGTCGCATCCTGGGACACTGACCTAATTTGCCCAACATGCGGAGTGCATAACAAGGGGGCTTTCTATGTAGTAGTATGTCATTGTTATCGCTAGGCCTGTATACCATGTACATGTACTTGTTAGTAAAATAAGATATTAATTATATTATTATATACACCTTTTTGCATATTTTCTTGTAAACAATTATTGTAAATGAAAATAATGACGAAACTATTAGTGTGTTTACTGTGTTGAATTCAACAGTACCATATAGTACCATATGGTAAATGATACATATGGTACATTGAACCATATGGAATCATTGTGCCATTATGGTACAATGTACCATAAGGTACCATTGCACCATATAGCACCATTGTATCATATGGTGCCATTGTACCATATTGTACCATATGGTACCATTGCACCCTATGGGCACCATTGTACCCATATAGTACTATATGGTCCGTTGTTTCAACCACAGTAATCGCAATATATTTACAAGTTTATTGTAAACAAATCCATGATGAAAGCAGTTTGTAAGCAATATAATGATAACAATACTAGTGTAGTTATTGTGTTGAATACAATGAGTGTACACTTATACAATATACATTATATTGGTCTCACAGGCCACAAATGTTACCAGAAAAAAAAAAAAAAAAAAATCGAAAGAAAAAAGTATAAAAAATGTAAATAAAAAATGGGATTTTGTGAAGTCGCTGATGTTGCCGCCACCTGGTCATTTTGGGTCAACTTC